ATTTCATGCTACTTATCCTTTTGCAAAATGTAGGCGTTGAACTTTTCTTTGGTTATTTCTCTTACTTGTTTAATTCTGTTCTTTACTTTGTTAGATAAGAGTTTAAATTTGTTTTCTTTTCTTGGTAAAGCTGGTAGTTCTGGTAATTCTTGGAGTTGCTTATCTGCTACATAATTCTGTCATGCCACAGTTCTTTCCAAAAGTTCTATTTGCCTAGAAGCCTTTTCCAAATTGTCATCTTTTTCTTTGCTTTGCCTTACTCCCCACTGTCTAGCCACTTCGAGAGCCTCTAAGTGACATTCAGATGTTTCCTCCTCTAACTCTAATGCTTGTTCCAACTCCTCTACTCTCAATTTCAATTCCTTTTGCTTAGTTTCTAATTCTATAACCTTTGGTTCTAATTCAGAAACCTTTTCTTTTAGTTCACCATTTTTTCCAGAAACATAACTAAAATTATTGCAATTAAGTAATGTTCATTCAGTGCAACCCTTAACAAAGTTTTCAAGGGTTAATTCATCTTGGGGCAAAAAGTGTTTTTCTAAGGTCATTAAAGTTCCAGCAATTTCTGGGCTTTCAGTTTCTTTAACATTTTCAACTATGTTGTGGATTCTCACTTTGGGATTTTCTTCTTTATCGGCTAGTTGTTTTTTTAATGTTTCAATTTCTTCAATTAATGTTTTATTTGCTTGTTGTTGTTCATTTATAATGTTTATCATGATTTTTTGTTAATTATATTATTCAATTTTTAATAAATACTTAATATCTTTCTTTTTATAAAAGCATTATTAAGTATATAATTATTTTATTAATATAATAATGAAGTAATAGAGAAAGTTTATTTTTAAATTTTCTATTCATTGTCAGCATAAATTGGTTTTGGACAAGTAATATCTTTAAATTTGTCTCTGACAAATGGGCGAATAATATGATAAAGATATTCCTGCCTTTTGTAATCTAAAGAAGGAGGTGTTAACACTAAAATAGATAAAGCTCTAATTTCTTCAAAAATATCTGCTTTCTTAGTTTTTAATAAATTGAATTCAGTAAAAGGTCCATTAGCAACTCCTTGAACTTTCACTGTACCAAGATTAGATGTTTCAAAAAGAAAATGTTGATATTTCTGTATACTTGGTAATTTCTTAAAATAAATTCCTAAGATGGCTTTAATATCTAAGTATTGAAAACCTTTTCCACTTTCATAACATTGAGCTTTATTCAATCCTGCTGGACTAGACTTTTTCACCACTTCAACCACATGATCCAGACAATCTACTCTTGTTCTTCTGTAGAGTTTTTTAATCAATCCAAAACTACCATCACATTTGAATTTGGTATGCCCTGGAATCATAAAATTCAATTCAATACTTTC